AACCCAGTTTAGGGTTAGCACTTGTACCCACATTTCTGTCAAATGTTGTAGCCTATAGTGAGGTTTGTCTTAGGGGGTACAAAACTTAGGGTTAGCTATATGTACCCCAACCAACATCAATGCACCATCCATTCTTCATTCTGACATGGTATCAGAGCGGTTAGGATCCTGTGGGATCCCGTTCCTCCGTTCTCCGTTCGAGCCTCCCGAGCCTGATCCTAGCTCTCATTCGTCCCGGTTTCGTTGTTACCGCGCGTAGTGCCGCGCCTAGCGCCACTCCTAGCGTCGCGTCCTGCCCGCCCTTTCCCCCTCGTCGCGTCCCTTTCCCCCCGTCGCGTCGCGCCCTTTCCCCCCAGTCGAGTCGCGCCCTTGAGGACGAGGGGACGTGAAACCCAGTGAGAGACCCAGAAGGAGCAGCCGGACACGGCAAGGTGGTAGTGTGACGCGCAGTGACTGGTCCCGAAGTGGGATCAGCCAGCGCCACAGAAACAGGCGCAGGAAGAGGCGTAAGTGTCGTGCTGTCACGAAAGAAGCAGTGAGAGGCTCCAGAGTCCAGCGTGAACGACAGCGAACCGTCCTCTGAGGTAGCCGCTGGACTAGAGTCTACACAAGAACCTACACTAGCAACAGGCAACTGAGTTTGCCTCTACCCGCCGCCTTGACTTCGCCACCGCTCTTGTGGCTGCTCCTCCTTCCAGTCCTCTGGCCGTCGGGGGTGTGTCTGCCCTTGGCTGTGACGCCCTAGAGGACAGGCAGTTTGAGCTAGAGTTCCTGGCGGCCGCTTCCCCTCATCTCTGTGCCATGCTCCTCGCCCCTGAGGGTGACCCCGACGCCCTTGACATTCCGACTCCTCGCACTTACGCTGAGGCAGTGTCAGGGCCTTGGGCCTCTCAGTGGAGAGCTGCCATGGACGCAGAGATGGCCTCCTACAGATCCACAGGCACCTACGTCGATGAGGTTCCCCCTCCGGGGGCGAACGTAGTCGACGGCATGTGGATCTACAGGGTGAAGCGGCCACCGGGATCTCCTCCGGTCTTCAAGGCGCGCTACGTGGCTAGAGGTTTCAGTCAGCGCGAGGGAGTTGACTTCTTTCAGACCTTCGCGCCCACCCCGAAGATGACCACTCTTCGGGTGTTACTACACGTAGCAGCACAGAGAGACTACGAGTTACACTCTCTCGACTTCTCTACTGCTTTCCTTCAGGGCAGTCTTCACGAGGAGGTCTGGTTGCGTCGTCCCTCTGCCTTCACTGGCTCTTTCCCTCCTGGGACCCAGTGGAGGCTGAGGCGACCGGTTTACGGTCTTCGTCAGGCTCCTCGTGAGTGGCACGACACCCTGCGTTCTACCCTGTCTGACCTTGGGTTCCAGCCGTCTTCTGCTGACCCGTCGCTGTTCGTTCGTCGTGGCACCACACCTTTCTTTGTTCTGGTCTACGTTGACGACCTTGTTTTCGCCACCCCTGACAGGGTTGCTTTGGCACACGTGAAGTCCGAACTGCAGAAGAGACACACCTGCACTGATCTTGGTGAGCTGCGCCACTACCTTGGCCTGCAGATCACCAGGGACAGAGCTGCTCGCACCATTACACTTTCACAGTCGCACATGGTGCAGCAGGTCCTTCAGCGGTTCGGGCTTCAGCACTCCACAGTACAGCGCACACCTCTTGCTGTTGACCACAGACTCACTGGACCCTTTCCTGACGAGCCGTTCGAGCCTAGTGGTCCCTACGCAGAGCTTGTGGGTTGCCTCATGTACCTGATGACTTGTACTCGCCCGGACCTCGCCTTCCCTCTCAGCGTTCTTGCGCGCTTTGTTGCGCCAGGGAGACACCGTCCTGTTCACTGGACAGCAGCTGTGAGGGTGGCGAAGTACCTAGCGACGACGTCAGGCGTGGGGCTAGTTCTTGGAGGGCAGCAGTCTGTCGTACTTACTGGTCACTGTGACTCCTCTTACGCTGACGACGCTGAGACTCACAGGTCTACTCAGGGGTACTGTTTCAGCCTGGGTTCTGGAGCTGTTTCCTGGCGGTCCACGCGCTCCTCTTCGGTCTCGACCTCTACAGCTGAGGCTGAGATCTACGCTGGTGCCATGGCGGCACAGGAGCTGCGTTGGTTGACCTTCTTGCTCACCGACCTTGGTGAGCGGCCGAGCTCTGCACCGACCTTGTTCACTGACAACAAGGCGTCTATTCTCCTTTGTCGAGAGCCACGACTGGAGAGCAGAGTGAAGCACATTCACGTCAGGTACTTTCTTCTGCGAGAGTTGCAGAGGCGTGGACAGGCTCGCTTTGAGTTTGTGGAGTCCGAGGCCAACACTGCAGACATCTTCACCAAGGCGCTTCCGCCTTGTGACCACCAGAGGTGCTGTGTGCAGTTAGGCCTTGTTGACACTGGTTCTCGTGTTGCTTAGACTTGAGTGTACTGTTTACTTTGCTTTCTATATATCTCTGTTACTTCTTGGACTGGCCTTGTGGCCACTGTTGTTTGTGCTCAGACTGTGTGGTGACGTTGTGATCCACCCTGAGCTTTGTTTCTTTTGGACTGGTCTTGTGACCGTACTCGTTTGGTTCTGCTAGACACCCCTCACTTAGGCTATGGGGGTGTGTCAAATGTTGTAGCCTATAGTGAGGTTTGTCTTAGGGGGTACAAAACTTAGGGTTAGCTATATGTACCCCAACCAACATCAATGCACCATCCATTCTTCATTCTGACAATTTCTGCCCAATGCAATCATTATCTGCTCACTATTCTGACAGAAGGCGGCAGGACATGGTTGACTAGAATGCATAGTCTAGCACGCCAGCTCTCTGACTTCCTATGGTACTCGTTTGTTTCTATGGTTCAAGCGATTTTGAGTACAAGATTGAGTACAAGATTGTTTGTTTCAATGATTGAATTGGGTTACGGTAGGTACAAAGTCTCTGTGATGCTATGGAATCGCGAAGTGTTTCCTACGTGAAAAAGTGTCACCATCTGGACAGTACCAAAGTGCCGAACTGTCGCTTCGGAAGGTCAGATACGTGTTATAAGGACTGTCCGCAATGCATTAAGTGGACGGTCCGCAAAAACACTTAGTGGCAAAATGGATACACGCCCTAAGCTACAATGTGTCAATAGGGGTCTAACCGAGACTACGTCTAGTATCCTCTCTTGCTTGTCTCAGCTTGCATAATTTACGCCAGGACGCGAGCCGCCAATAACGACCCGCATACTTTCCCGATAAACTTTCGGAGGAAAGGACTACAAAGCGCCGCTCTTCCTCCTTGCTTCCCCCTCTCCGCACGCCACTCTCTGCCACTCGCAGTCGCGAGGAGCTGGCCTCCGCGGCCGTCGCGGCTGGCGCCGCTCGCCTCGTTGCGGATCGCGGCGTGCGACGAACGCGCGATAGCTGCTGCTGGCGCCGCCATCGCTCGCTTCGCCTGCTGGAATCCTCGGCCTCTTTCCTCGCGCGGCCTCGCTTATTGGCGATGGCGTCGCAGCGACGTCGCGCGGGCGATGGGAGGAGTGAGGGGGTGATGAGAGCACACGGCGAGGGTGCGAGCGCGGGTGGGGGCATGGGCCGAGTGCAAGGAGGGGACGGGGCGGGAGGGAGGGACGGGCGGGAGAGGGCGATGGGAGAGGGCGAGGGGAGGCGGCGAGGGAAGGGGCGGGGTGTGGGGGAGGAGCGGGACGGGCGCGACAGCGGGCGCGGGGCATCATGGGGGCTGGGGGGGCTGGAGACGGCGGGCGCGCGCGAGTGCGTGGTGCTGGCGGGGGCGGCGGCGTGGATGGTGGCGCGCGTGGCGCTGCGGGGAGTGGTGCCGCGCGGCACAGTGGCGGCCATGGCGGCTGTGTGGGCCGCCGCTGTGGGCGCTGAGTGCTGCGGCTGGGGGGCGGCCTTCCGCGTGCTGCAGCCCAGGTGAGGCAGTGGGGGGAAGGGGTTTGAAAGGGGAGGGGCATCGCCTGCCTGTGCTCCCGGGGTGCTACCTCGCCGTGGCTCCCCTCCCTCGTGGTCGTGTCTTGTGTCTTCCTCCTCGCTTGCCTGCTTCCCCTCCTCGCTTGCCTGCTTCCCTCCTCGCTTGCCTGCTTCCCCTCCTTGCTCCTCCACCGCTTGTTCCTCTCTGCACTGCCATGCCATCCACTGCCGCGCACCACCCCCGCGCTCCCCTCCCCTCCCCTCCCCTCCCCTCCCCTCCCCTCCCCTCCCCTCCCCTCCCCTCCCCTCCCCTCCCCTCCCCTCCCCTCCCCTCCCCTCCCCTCCCCTCCCCTCCCCTCCCCTCCCCTCCCCTCCCCTCCGCGGCCCCACCAGGCTGGGCGCATCCTCGCCAGGGCTGCACCTCGCTGCCATCACGCCCTCCGCTGCCATCGCTGCTGTCTGCGCCCTTCACCGCTCTGCACCGCTCTCCACTGCTCCCTCGCCCTCCCCCTGGCTGCTGCTGCTGCTGCACGCGTCCCTGGCATCCGCGCTGGCTGCGGTGGCCGGCACGGCAGCCGCTGCTGCCCGCCCTGTGGTGCGCCGAGCAGCACTGGAGCAGTGGGCAGCCAAGGGAGGGACGGCCGAGGACGGTGGGGGAGGGGAGGAGGGCGGCGGGAGAGGGCATGCATGGGGCAGAAGGAGGGGCGGGGGAGGAGAGGAGGGCAGCAACGGCGGGCGCATGGGTGGTGCTGGCTTGGGGGCGTTTGAGCGGCGCTTCTTCGGCGCGTGGCTGGCCGCCGGTGCTGCTGCCGTGCTGCTGCTGTGCCATGGCTATGCTGACGTGGCATGGCGGATGGCAGCAGGTGAGGTAGAGGTGCAGATGGAATGCTCGAGGGCGGGTTGAGGTGGCTTTCTCTGCCCTTCCAAACACGCTGCTCCGTGCTCCCTTCTCAACCTCCCTTCTCATGACGCCTGCTTGCACCCTCGCTCTCCCCCTCTCTCTATGCCCCTTAAGATCCTTCCCCCTCCCCTGCGCCCTCCCCTCCCCTGCCCTCTCCCCGTGCCCTTCCCCCCCTCCCCACCCGTCCCCCGTGCCACCCAGCCAGTGTGGCGGCGCTGCACCTGATGCTCTGCGCCCTGCTGCTGCGCACCTTCTTGCTGAAGTTTCCTCGCAGCTTCACTCCTGGTGAGAGCTGAGCTGAGCAGCAGGGGGCAGGTGGGAGCGGGGCAGCAGGTGGGAGCGGGGCAGCAGGTGGGAGCGGGGCAGCAGGTGGGAGCGGGGCAGCAGGTGGCACACGGGTGGAAAGAGGGGGTGGGCTCCATGTGTCTTGGCAGCTGCGTTCGCCCATGCATGCATTCGTGCCGTATCACCAAGCATCGCAAATGCTGACTGTATTCCTCTCTCTGCTCTGAACGACCAACTCACACCCATGAGAGACTCACTGTGCCCCTGCCCCCCTGCCTCTGCCTCTGCCTCTGCCTCTGCCTCTGCCTCTGTCTCTGCCCCTGCCCCTGCCCTTGCCTCTACCTCTGCCTCTGTGTGCGCGGTGTGCTGCCAGGCGAGGCACTACTGCTGGCGCAGGGCACGTCGCTGTATGCCGTGCATGCCATCGCCATCACCTGCTCCCAGGCACGCCCTCATGTCACCATCGCCATGCCTCATGTCACCATCTCCATGCCTCATCTCACCATCGCCATGCCTCATGTCACCATCGCCATGCCTCATGTCACCATCGCCATGCCTCATGTCACCATCGCCATGCCTCATGTCACCATCGCCATGCCTCGTGTCACCATCGCCATGCCTCTCGTGTTGACATTCCTGCCCTGCTGTCCCCCGTGTCTGACATTGGTTCATCACGCCATCATGCCACATCGCCTGTCACACCCATACCATCCACATTGCTCATCTGTCGTCTGCCCATCCATCAACTCCCCCATCCATCAACTCCCCCATCCATCAACTCCACCTGCAGCTTCTGCCATCCCACCTGCTGCCGCTGGGCCTTCTCCCCTCCGCGCCATCCTCATCGTCCTCCATCGACCTCTTTCTCGCACGCGCCGACGCCAGTGTGCAGGTGACGCCAGTGTGCAGGTGACGCCAGTGTGCAGGTGACGCCAGCCCTTGTTGATTCGCCTGCTTCCATCATCACTGCATCATCCACCACCCAACGCACCCCAGTGCGTTGTGTTGCCACCCCCCTGCACCCTTCAGGCCCTCGTGCTGGCGATGCTGCTGCTGCCTCTGCTCTCCTCTGCCGTCTCCTCGCCTGCAAGCACCACGCGCCGAGGGCAGCACGGGGGGCGCACGGCAGCATTCTACGCGGCGCTGCTGCTGCTGCTGGGCCACCTCGTGCCACTCTGGCTCGCCCACACCGCCCACACCGCCCACATGCCACCGCCCCCTGTGCTCTGGTCTGCCCTTCACCGCTTCTTCTTCCTCTTTCTTCCGCTCACCCCTTGCTCATATCGCCTTCCTCTGATCCTACTCCCCGGCCCATCGCATGGCTGTGCCAAACCCCCCTGCACGCACTGCTGCATTTTCTCACATCCTCCTCACCGCCACTGCTGCCGTTATCCTGCCTCGCCCTCACCACCTGCATGCCTCGCCCTCACCACCTGCATGCCTCGCCCTCACCACCTGCATGCCTCGCCCTCATCACCTGCATGCCTCGCCCTCACCACCTGCATGCCTCGCCCTCACCACCTGCATGCCTCGCCCTCACCACCTGCATGCCTCGCCCTCACCACCTGCATGCCTCGCCCTCACCACCTGCATGCCTCGCCTTGGCTCCTCGCATCGTCACCACCCAACAACTGGCCAACCATCGTTCCTGCCCACAGCCCTCTTCTTGCTGCTCCTCCTTATCTCCACTCCCCTCCTCTTTCTGTTCCCCCTTACCTCTGCTGCCCTGCCTCCTTCCTTCCTCGTACTCTTCATCTTCACTGCGCGCCTGCATTCACTGTGCTGAGCTGAATCTCTTCTCTCTCCTCTCCCCTCCTCATGCCACGCCTCACTGCAGGTGGCTGCGGGAGGTGATGGCCAACGGGCCTCTCTGGCTCTACTGGCTGCTGCTCCTCTTCCTCCTCCTGCCGCTTCTCTCTCGCCTTGCCCCTTCCTCCACGCGCACGCCCCACACCATCCCCTCTGCGGCCCCCTTGTCTGCTGCTGCGCCGGCCCCATCCACTGGTGCCGCTGTCCCCCCCGCGGCGGCACCCCCAGTGCCCCATGTGGTGCCCCACGTGGTGCCCCATGTGGTGCCCCACGTGGTGCTGCGCAAGGCCTTCCACGTGCTCGCCCTCGCTTTGTTCCTGCCGCCCATGCTGCTGCAGGTGATGCATGCTGCTGTAGGTGATGCGTGCTGCTGCAGGTGATGCGTGCTGCTGCAGGTGATGCGTGCTGTTGCAGGTGATGCGTGCTGTTGCAGGTGACGCGTGCTGTTGCAGGTGACGCGTGCTGCTGCATTGATAGAGATTGTTGGGAGTGTTGCAAGGAAGAGGAGGATGGTGGGACGAGAGGGGGTGTGGACTCCAACTGCACCCCCTCGCCTTCCACGTGCTCGCCCATCCACAGAGTGGGGACAGAAGGCGTCAATCCTGGAACGTATGAATCTCAATTGCAACGTTGTCAGGCTGTCCAACTTGCTTCAGTCTCATTTGCACACGTGGCATAATGTGCTTCAGAGAAGCTCCCTGCTCCTCATCCCCTCCACCCCACTCCTCTCCCCTTTTCGTCCCTCCCCTCTCTTATTGGTCTCTCCCTTCTCCCGCTCGACCCTCCCCTCCAGCCGGCCTTCCTCCGCCTTGCTTTCGGCGTGTGCTTTGCCTTCTTCCTCCTCTTGGAAGCCATGAGAGTGAGTCGCCTTGAAGCCATGAGAGTGAGTCGCCTTGAAGCCATGAGAGTGAGTCGCCTTGAAGCCATGAGAGTGAGTCGCCTTGAAGCCATGAGAGTGAGTCGCCTTGAAGCCATGAGAGTGAGCCGCCTTGAAGCCGTGAGAGTGATGTGAGAAAGTGTAAGAACAACCGATAGTTTCATTAGGAAGGGCATGGGTTTACATAGTTGAGCTAGGATGTAGGAGCCATGCCAACATTATTGGCCCCCACCAATAAGTTGGGTTGAGGAATTATTGGGGGGACCAATAATGTTGACCAAAAGTGGGTCAACATTATTGGGGGGGCCAATAATCTCCCAACCCAACCTTGGGGGCCCAATAATTGGGCCAAGGTTGGGTTCCAACCTCAAACTAGGGTAAACCCTAGTTGTGCACCCAAACTAAGTTTGGGTGCCTATCTCTAGTCAAAGCTTATATGATGATGCAGGTTACAATGAAGATGGTAATCTGACACAACCCCTTAACCTGCAGAAATCCATAGGCTTTGGAAGAGAGAACGCAACAACCCCTGAATCAGCCACCGCGGGGAGCAAGTCCCTGAAGGCGCAGGAGCGCAGAGTGGTTAGAGCGATGGAGAGCCTTGGTGAAGAGGTCAGCGAGGTTGGCGGACGAGTCGATTTTACGAACAGTGATGTGACCATCTTGCACAAGATCGCGGACAAAGTAGTAGCGTAGCTCGATGTGTTTGGAGCGACCATGAAAGACGGCCTCCTTGGTGAGGTGGATGGTACTATCGTTGTCACACCACAGGGTGGGGCAGGGCTGTGGTGAGCCAAGGTCGGTGAGAAGATAGCTAAGCCAGCGTGCCTCTTGAGCCGCCTTGGTAACTGCGTACAGCTCGGCTTCGCAGGAGGAGAGGGCGACGGAGGAGGAGCGAGTGGAGCGCCAGCTGATGAGGCCGCTCCCAAGGGAGAAGCCATATCCTTGAGAACTGCGATGGTCCGGCTGTGCATCCGCCCAAGATGAGTCACTGAAGCCTTGAAGAACAGGTGGGTCCACACCACCAAGCGTGAGGCCATAGTCCTTTGTGCCTTGGAGGTAGCGCAGAACACGCATGGCCGCCTTCCAGTGCTCCTCACCATGCCTGCCAGTGCCAACAAACCGCGCCAGGACACTGACGGGGTATGCAAGGTCGGGACGAGTGCAGACCATGGCGTACATCAGGGCCCCAACGAGTTCTGCATAGGGATGAGGGGAGGTGACAGGAGTGGCTGGAGGGGACAGCCGATGCCCGAATGCAAGTGGTGTGGGGATGGGTTTGGATTTGGACATGCCGAACCTCTCAAGCACCTTCCCGATGTAGAATGACTGAGAGAGGGTGATAGTCTTGGCAGTGAGGTCGCGGGTGATCTCCATGCCAAGGTAGTTGCGGACTTCCCCCAGATCTTTGCAGGCGAGACGTTGCTGCAGCTCATCCTTGACCTCCTGAAGTTCAGCAGCTGTCTCAGCTGCTAGCAGCATGTCGTCGACGTAGACGAGGATGAAGAAGGGTGACGGAGTTAAGCGAAGGAAGAGGCAAGAGGCAGCACGGGAGGGGCGAAAGCCAAGTGCGCGAAGGGTGGATGAGAGTTTGGCGTGCCATTCTCGAGGTGCTTGTTTGAGCCCGTAAACAGGGCGTAGTAGTTTCCAGACGGTGGCAGGGTCGTGAGGAGCGTGGAAGCCCTTGGGACGTTCCAAGAAGATGAGTTCGTGGAGGTCGCCTTGTAAGAAGGCCGTGGTGACATCCATGGAGTGGAGGAGCATCCCGCGTCTGCCAACGAAGTCCAGAAACACGCGAATGACCGGCGGAGTGGCGGTAGGTGAGTAGGTCTCGAAGAAGTCCGAGCCATAAGTCTGTGTAAAGCCTTTCGCCACATACCGAGCCTTGTAGACAGGAGCTTCACCAGGGAGTAGTTTTACTCGGAAGAGCCACCTGCCTTTGACCACGTTGTGCTTGGAGGGGCGAGGGACGTCGAGGAAAGAGCGGTTGTGGATGAAGGCGTTGCATTCCTTGACCATGGCCTCGATCCAGAGAGGTGCGTCAAGACATGCAATTGCTTGCTCGTAGGTGGTGGGTTCGTAGATGGTGGGGGTGTTGGAGAAAAGAAGGACCGTAGTACCAGCCATGGTGCGGACGACAGGGGCGATGGTGGGTGAGAGGAGGTGGAGGAAAAGGAGTTCATCATGAGAGTCTTCATAGAGGTCCGGAGAGAGAGGAGGAGGAAGAGGAGGCGGTGAAGATGCAAGACAGCTGCGCTGGAGGGTCAGGCTGGAGCGGGAACACGGCTGCACTGCTGCTCTGCTGCGCCGAGGGTCGGGGCGAGGAGACAGCTGCAATGCTGCTCTGCTGCGCTGAGTTGCCGTGAGGGGCAGGGAGACGGGAGCGCGGCTGGTGTGAGAACCTGAGGGGCTGGTGCGGGGGAGTGGGGAAGTGCTAGAGTGGTGGAGGAGTGGAATGGATGTGAGAGACTGGAGGGAGAGGTGATTGGATCATGGGGGACCAAGGATGGGGACTGTGGAGCGGGTGTGAGGGTAGTGACGAAGGAGCAGAGGAGGGGAGGGGAGTAAGGGCCGCAATGGTGGAGGGGGAGATGGGGAGGGTGGAGGTTGGGAGGGGGGAGGGGGTGGGGGAGAGTTCAGAGGGGGAGGGGATGGGGAGGGAGGGGGAGGGGGTGGGGAGGGGGGGGGGGGTCAGCGGGGAGAGGGGGAGGGTCAGTGGGGGGAGAGGGAGTTACAGCGGAAGGGGAGGGTGGGGCAGCCGGGTCAAGGATGTCCCCTGAGGAGGTTGGGAGAGAGGGGGGAGGGGGTGGGGGTGCGGGTATGACCAGGGTGGGGGGAGGTTGAAGGGGAGGGGTGAGGACAGTGTCAGTCCAGAGGAGAGGACGTATGGTGAGGGGGAGGGGTTAGGGGCGGAGGGGGAGGTGTAGTACGGGTTGGCTTCATCAAAAACCACATCCCGACTACGAATGAGACGACCTGAGGGGGGGTGGAGGAAGAGGTAGTCCGGGGAGGTGGGGTTATGACCAATGAAGATGCAAGGGAGGGTGCGGGAGGCAAGTTTCCCAGCTGCACGTGAACGGTCCTCAGGGTGTATGAGAACATACGCCTTGGAGCCCCACACGCGCAGGGGGGAGATGTCGGGTTTAGTGGAGGTCCAGAGTTCGGTGGGAGTAGTGGTGGGCCGTGAGGGATGGGGGTAGAGATTAGTGAGGATGGCGGCGTGGAGGATAGCATAACCCCACAGAGAAGGCGGGCAGGAGGCATGGACCATGAGGCATCGAGCGGTCTTGGTGACCTCCCGAACCCTGCTCTCCGCCACACCATTTTGCTGAGGGGAATGAGGAAGGGTGTAGGTGTGGATAATGCCATGGGTGGTACAGTAGGAGGAAAGCATCCGGTTAAGGAACTCACCGCCGCCATCGGAATGGAAGCGAAAGACAAGGCGTTTGAAATGGGTGCGTGCTTGTTCAGCCCAGGCAATAATGGCAGCCGGGGCCTCCGCCTTCTTGCGAAGGAGAGAGACAGTGGAGTACCGACTGTGGTCATCCACAAGTATGAGCAGGTAGCGATGACCTTGCCTGGCGAGTGGGAGAGGGATTGGGGCCCCAGAGGTCCATGTGGACGAGATTAATGGGTTGGGCAGAGAAGGAGGGATGACTCTTGTGGGGGGCTTGCTTTAGTTTGCTTTCAACGCAAACTGAGCAGGGAGGGGAGGGCGACGGGGGGAGAGGGGGGAGGGTGAGGGGAAGTCCTTCAAGAAGTTGAGAGGAGACAGATTGACGAAGGGTGGCAAAGTTGGGATGACCCAAGCGATGGTGAAGGAGGACGGCGGGATGGGTAAGGTCACGACAGTGACAGGAGGGGGAGGAGGGAGGGGAGGGGGAGGAGGGAGGGGAAGGTAGGGGGGAAGAAGGGGAGGGGAGGAGGGGGGGGAGAGGGGAGGGGGGAAAGGGAGTGAGGGGGAAGTAAGGTGGGAGTGGTGAGGTGGTGGATGGAGGGGCGAGGGGTGCGGTATGTGTACAGGTTTGTGTGTGGGCAGAGGGGAATACGACAGATGAAGCGACCAGTGATGGTGTGAAAGAGGTCGCAGTGAAGTGCATGACCGGGGAAGATGGCGGTGACACCTAACCTTGGGAGGTCACGAAGTGCTACCAGATTGTTGCGTAGTAAGGGGACGTGTAGACCTGTGACTGTGCCTGAGGGGAAGATGGGGCAGGGGAGAGTGGAGGTGTGTCGACTTGTGATGGTGAAGCTGAAGTCGGCTCCGTAAATGGTGGAGGGAGTGGGGAGGGGGACTAGTGTGCCTGCGTCCCGAAGGACAGTGTGTGTAGCGCCGCTGTCAAGAATGAACTCAAGGAGTGTAGAGGAGGAGGAAGAAGCGGAATACTGGAAGGATGTCTCATTAATAGCATGGGCATACATTGAAGGAGCAGGAGAAGCAGTGCTAACATGTCCTATGAATCCAGCAGAAGGGAACGGAGTGAAGCCAGGAGGATTGGAGGAGGAGGAGGGCTGGTCAGTAGGAGTGGTAGCAGATGTAGGAAGCACAGGGCCGTATTGAGGAGGTGGATAAGGAGGGTATGGCCAGCCGGTATAGGGCGGAGGATAGTGGGGGGGAGGGGCTTGAGGAGGAGGTGTGGGTGGAGGGGGAATGGGAGGGGTGGGAGGGGTGGGAGTGGGAGGAGATGAAGGGAGAAGATGTTGAACTTGCTGGAGGATATGAGGTGGGAGATGCTCAGTGAGGACATTGTGAAGATTAGGGGTGGAGGGTTGATAGGCGGGGAGAGTGCGTATGTCATGGAGAGAGGGGCGCGGGAAGATGGTGTTCCATCGAGGTGGGGTGCCGACATTGCCACGTGCAAACCACTCATCAGTGAGGGCTTTGAAGCACGTGTCAGTGGTGTGAGTGGTTTGAGCGCAAGGCTGACCTTTGTTGGAGCCATAGCGAATGATGTACTGACACGGGGGAAGGGTACCCGAGG